GCTGATAATGGAGGTTGCCCCAACCCAGGTGCAGCACCTTGCACTTGGCCTTGTTGAACTTCATGAGGTTTCCATGGGCCCACTTTCAGAGCTTTTCCAGATCTCTGTGGATGGCATCCCATCCCTCAGGTGTAGTAACTGCACCACTCAGCTTGCTGGTATCTGCAAACTTGGTGAGGGTGTGCTCTGTCCCACTATGTCACTTATGGAGACACTAAACAGTCCTGCGCATGGTTGAGCAGAGACTGAAAACCTGTGGCAGCATGAGGCTGACAGGTTAAAAATCATATTCTCACTCTCTTTGCTTTGCTCTCTTAGTCATTTATATTCATGCAAAATGAATGTACAAAAGCAAACAAATCAAAGACTCCATCACAAGGCTTTTTTCCCTCCTAGCTGAAACAGCTTGGCCCTGAACTTTGGTTCACCCTCCAGTCAGAAGAGATGTTTTTCTTAGGCTTTTGGAAGAAGTACAACTTTTATAAAACCTGCATCACTGAATCAAACATAACCAAACAGTAGCTGCAAACAGTGCACTGGGTGAGGAAACAAGGGATTTCTCTCCAGGCATGTTGCTGAAGAAAAAGACAGGCAGGGCCAGACAGGTTTGATTAACACCTTTCTGTGGTGATCTCTGTATGTACTTGAGACTAAAACGTTGAGCATTTGGAGTGTATTCACCAGCTGATCAGCCTTAGCTGATTTCAGTGCTGTGGTGTGAATTAAAGCTAGTAACTCACAAAAAGATACCACTCTTGTAGTAATGTTTGATCTTAGACATGTTGTTCACTGAAGCTACTGGGACTGATGTCACCTGTCACGTGCATGCCTTTGCACGCTCCTCTGTTGCAGAATGAGAGCAGTTGTCACATCTATACTTTGTTTTATATAGTGCATTTCACTAATACCTTCTAGCAGGGTTCTTTAAAATTTTATTTTGTGGATCACTTCTTAGCAAAGTCTACTGAGGTTAATTCAAAGTGGGTTGTTTCATTAGGAGGATGGAGCAGGTACGCAGAACTTTGAAGACAGTGACAAGAGGCATTAGTAGGGGGAAAACCAGTGCAACCATTAAAGGACTCATGAGACTAAATTAATGAGGAGGTGAATTAGTGCTGCAGTTAGTGTGAGGTGAAGGCACTGATGTCTTTTGTGTTAAATCATGGAGGAAGAAGAGAAAGCAGTATTCAAAATAATAAGGGAGGTGATGTGGGGTCTGTGGTGGCTGTAGCTCAGGATGAGGTGCAAAGTGTGGACTGAACAAGCAGCTTTGTGTCTTCAGGTGAAAGCCAATGCTGAGGCTGCTCAGAGAAAGGGTGTGAGGGATAACAGAGTTGAGATCTGCCCCTGATGCCCAAGCCTTTTACAGTTTATTGCTTGGAGTTCACCTGATGTCATTAGAGTGGGACTGCTGCCTCTTCTCTTTCAGGGCCAGGGTTTTGGCTGGAGTCAGTGAAGGGTTACCAGCACTCCACTCAAAGTGGCAGGGACAGAGTTGTTATAACCTAAATGGTAGCGTGCCACCAGAATCAATACAAATTGAACCTCTGCTGGCGAGACTGCACAGTGCTTGCTTTCTTGTGTAGAGGAATCAATATGAATTGGCCACAGGATGGGAATATAGAGATGCAGCTGGGGAGAGAAAAAATAGATGTTAAGCAGAGGTGAACAGAGGTCACTAGGTCCACACTGTGATTTTAGACTCAGTCATTAACAAAAAGTTTTGTGAAAGCTCTAATTTGCCTGTCCTTTGGGTCATCCTTTAGACACAATGGCTCAGTGATACAATGCTTCCAAGGTTTATTCTTCTTGGTTCACATGTCACTATATTGTTAAACAGCTTAAATGTCAGCATGGGTCCCAGCATGCCCTTTCCATTCACTTCACGCCAGGGATGGGCAAGAGTGGAGTTCACCAGCCCTTCTCCTTTTGTTGATTTCCCCCAATCCCCATGCAGGACATCACTCCCTCATGTGAGCATGCCATCCAAGCTGCAGTTGGCCTGTTGGTGCAACACTGCTCAAGGATCTCCCATTTAGGCTAGAGATTCTGACTGGGTTTCCTGGTGTGGAAGATTGAATAGAAGAATTATTGTAATGCCTGTTTACTAAACGACTCTGTTTCTAATTAGCTGTTGTTATTGTCATGAGGAAGAACAGTAACTACTTGAGAACTACATTTTATACTTAAGTGCCTTTAAAAAGTTGTCATTTCCATGAGGTGTCATACAGTCAACCCAGGCCATTGTACTACAAAATGATGGTGAAAAGAGGCTGGAGAAAAAGTACCCTTTGTTGTAAGGGTTATGCAGGACCCCAGCCTTCCTCACACATTTTCTGCATCTATCTGAGATATATCCACCATGTGTCAATGTTTATTACTTTTTATTTAAAATAAACATTTAGAAACTCTTCCTTCTACCTTAGATCCTGGCTTTATGAATTATTCCACTGTATTAAGGACTTATTCTCTTAAGAACTGATGATTTCTTGCCTTCAGGAAAGGAGAAAGCAAGTGATTTCTAACCCTTTTCTTATCCAGATAGCAGTGAGCTGCCTTTGGGCTTCAGTTGTCTAGTTTACAGTAAATATGCCAAATTCTCCTCTGTTAAATGCAGTACCATGGGTACCCTTGTTAAATAACAGTTATCTGACTTGTCACTGCTTCAGCATAATTTGTGTGCTGAGCTATACCCAGTTTTTCTTTCACCATTTAATATGATGCTCCATGCACAGGCTTTTTTGTGTACTGATAGAAAATGTAGAAAAAATTAGAATAATTTTTGGGTTTCTTTTACCAAACTGGTCTAGTTGTAATACAGGTGAGGAAAAAGGTTGGAGCCAGAACTGTTTGGTACCACAGGAAAAAATAATATATTGGGAACTCTGAGAACAGATCTGCTTCCATTGGATCATCTTTATGTGCTAGGGAAGGAAGACTCATTTAAGAGGGCAGAATTCATATCATGCAGGGAAGGGAGGAGAGTAGAAAACAGATTTTGGAGGTAGGGAAATCAAAAAGTGGAAAAGTTGTAACTCATCAAAGTTACTGAAACATATGGTGCAGGAATTATTACCCTTGTGTTTTGTGCTTAGGTTCTTTCTCTCTAAAGCTTCTACCAGGTATGGTCAGTGTATTTATAGTTTGTGGAGGAAATGAAGAGAAATAATTAGATTCTAAGTTTGCAGTTTGTAAATTAACAGAATTAGAGGGTGGTTTGCAGGGGTGAAATGCTTAGGCTATGTGCAAAACCAGCTCATTTTACTTTTAGTAATTTGTTCCTTAATTAATTGGTGCCCGTGTCTCTTGATTTATGCTGAGACTGGCAAGATGCTTCAGGAAGGAAACCTGTTTTCATCTTGATTAATTCTCTGCTGGGCAGGCATTTAAAAAAAAATGTTAGCCAGCCATCTTTTGATTTGACTCCAGTAGGTTACAGTCAAAATCAAAGGGCAGAGAGGAGGCAGACAGATACGGAGGTGGTGCATATGGAGACAAGTGAAAAACGTGCACAGGGAATTTGGGGCAAAGATGGTAAATGAGTCGTGCTTTCCTGGGTGTTAATACTGTAATTGCCACAGTGTCAGTAAGATTTTTTCTTTCCGAAAAGTTGTGTGTGGCGCATTTTCAACTCTTTACTGCCTGTGGGAGCTGTCAGATTTTAGGGAAGTGCTCCCCAGCGTACGGAGCTTGATGCCGATCAGTGCGTTCTGACAGGGGGACAAATGAGCTGGCTCTACGAGGTGCTGAGTGATGATTCCGTGGGACTGAGCGAATTAGGAGCATCCCGGTGATGGATGTGCAGCGGAACAAACGAGCCCTCCGGCAAGGGGAGCACGGCCTGTCCTGACCCCGCTCCCCGCGGAGCATCCCCAGCGCTTTTGCGTACGAAACCTTCACCGCACTCATTCACTCACTCACTCACTCCGGTTCCTTTCGGCAGCGCCGCCTGTGTATGCGGGCAGCCCCGCGAAAGCCACCCGCACCCAGGTTCGGGCTCCGCGCGGTTTCGCCGTGCTCGGAGTTCAGGCGGGGGGGCCCGGGCGGGGCTGTGCGGGCGGGGTGTGGGCCCGGGCCGGGGCGGGCGCGGCCGGGCGGGCGGGCAGCGCCATTGGCGCGGCGCTCGGAGGAGGGGCGGCCGCGCCGGGAATGGAGCGCCGGGGCTGGCGTGCCACAGGCGCCCGCCGCGGGAGCGGGATGCGGGGATGCGCGAAGTGAGCCCGGCGGCGCGGGGCACGGCGATGTGGCCGGCGGGAAAGGGCCACGGCAGCTGCTCGCCTTTCGGATAATTCCTGCCCCTGCCGCGGGTCTCGGGCAGCGGCACTCTCCTGTCTGTGTGTGGGGCATGTGGAGCCGGGGGTTTATATGGCATTTGCGAGCCGAGCGAGGTCACGGTTCCTTTTTTTAAAATTCTTTGCTCTGGGTACAGTATATCTCTCTCTGGTTTTTCCTTCTCTGGTAACGGGATGGGCCGGGAGGGACGATCGTGACAGTGAAGGGAATGTTTACTTGTGCAGAAGTCCTTCTCATGTGGAAGCACGCTGCTCCCTAACTTCTGGCTAAGCAGACTTCAGTTCACCAACTTTGCTGCCGCACCGCACGCGTAACTCCTTGGCAGGATGGCAGACGAAAGAACAGCTGGTGCAAAGCAATAGGGCATTCCTAGCGAGGAGGAGGAGGAAGGAAGATCACCAATCTTTCACCCGACGGCTGTCAGAGCAGCAGGAACGGGACAGCTGAAGCCACCATGCGCAGGTCCAGCACCGATGAGTCCACCTATCACAGGAGCCCTTCCCTGGACAGCAAGGATTACAGTTTCCCAAATGGCGCCTTCCGTCGATACAGCAGCATGTATGGTGGCCAGTTTGGGGCTGCCAGCAACTCTTTTTTTGGATTTCATACCAATCCAGGCCCGAAGGCCACCAAGGCTAAGTACACGACCCCCAAGGGAAACAAGTACGTTGTCTTTTACCTGGATCTCTCATTTATTTTTCTCCTAGAACTGAAGAGGTGCAGCATGGCTCACAACTGCCTGCAGTGTATCAAGTACCTAATGTTTGTTTTCAACCTTCTCTTCTGGGTGAGTACACGCTTGGAACCGTGAAACAGTTGCTTTTGTGTCTGTTTACTGAGATGGAAAGTGAACTTGTTGCTGCTTTTCAACTTAGGAGTTGAACAAAGTGCTGCCTAGGCTACTTTTTTTGTGGCCTCATTAATTTGTGAAGATATAACCTGCAGGGGGTTTTCTTCATCCTCTCATTTCCTGGCCTCCAGCTGCATTTCAAAACTGTGGTAGAAGACAAAAGAGTGTGTTTATAGGGTTGTATGAATGCCTTCATCACTTTGTTCCAGTGAGAGCTGTACACTTTTTCATGCCCTGATCTTTCATTCTTATGTGTGTTTGCTTCAAAAGTTATGCATACTCCTAGAGAAATCATTGAGGACATTCATGGTTGTAAGGTTCAGCACGTGCTTACATCTGTTGCTTTATTGCAGATGGCACACTTGGTACATCACAACATTAAAGCCTGTGTCAGGAATCTCTAGGTAATCGTTCTCTGTTGCTGTCAGTGGTGGGTCCTGGCATTGCCATTCCCTGTTGAAGATGTGGGTGGAGAGAGACCAGAGCGCTCCTCTCTGCTTCTGGGGCTGCTACTCTGTGCCAGGAGCTCATCAAATCACTGTGAGGCATGCATGTATCATCATCTTTTTAATAAATTAGGTGGCTGGGCACTTCACTCCCTGTAATGGAGTGTAGGCTCTAGCTGGAGACTAAAGAAGCACAGTGGCGGGGGGGGGGGGCCCCCCCTGTTAGTCCTGTAAAAAAGGGAGTAACATCTTTGCCAGGGTAGGACAGGATTTCTAGTTCAGTGTTTCTTGTCCAGAATCATACGTGGGAAGGTCTGTTACAAGATCCTCAGGAGGTACATTTAGATGGCTTGTTCCTTCCAAGTGGCTTATTAGCATGCTGAGGGAAATAAGCAGTATTGTGAAAGTGACACCCCTCCTGTCCTGGCACTTAAGGAGGGGATGTGTGTTTGCAGCTGGATGTTACTGTGTCCTGTTACTGATTGTGCTCTCCTGAGTTGCTGGAGGTGCTCGGAGGGCTGTGGGTGAGATGGAGAGAGCTGTTCTCTAGTGTGCGCTGCTGTGCAGCTGTTCAAAGCCAGGCATGCTGCAGTGCATCAGAAAACACAAAGTGCAGGCAACTCCTGCTGACCTGAGTCACACCAAGAGTCAGGATGTGACAAACTAGTACAAGTCTCCTGAATTGGCACAGCACTAACCAGAGCTGTGAAATACAAGGAAGCTGCTCTCTTTGTGTCCTAGGTGAGCTGGTAGAAAGAGTGTTGTTAATGCTGCATTCTGTCTTTCAAGGCTAACTCTGGTTGCTTCTGCTTCCCTAAAAATCATCTAATATTTATTGCAGCCTACTCTAGAGCTTTCTGAAAAAAACAAACACTATCTTTCTTGCTTTTTAAATTTTTGTGCCTCTACTGACTGTCCCTGGTCGAGATTATAGATAGCACTGACAGTTCGTTGAAGTGTGAGTTAGAGAAAAGAAGTAGGGTGCTGGCATTAATAGCTCTTGTCAGGACTGTGCACAGCCTCAAAGGATACAGGCATTCTGATTTCTCTTGCAATATTCATCTTCCACTGAAACATATCCATTTGATGAGAAGAGGTACTGCTGCAAGTAGTGTGTGTGTATTTACAAAGGCAGGGTTGCACATAATAATATATCTTTGGCATTTTTTCAGTAGGAAAGCCTTAATGCTTTAGGAGAGAAAGAGAGGTTTCTGTCTCCCCCCTAAAACCATCAGAGCTGCTCCAAGCTATGTTTGGAGGCAGAGAAAAGGCAGGGGTCCCAAAAAGAGAATACCTGTGTGGCAGCTGAGCTCTAGGTGAGCTGAAGCATGCAAGCAGGGCAGTGGGTGGTGTCAAATACTGCAGCACGATCTCTGTTTTGTTTCCCTTTCACATGCTACCTGCACAGCAGGAGTGATGGATGATCATCATGTCCAAATGAGGTTTGCACAGCATGAAGTTGTAATAGATGCAGCTCTTCACCTTCTCACAGTGAAGAAAGTAACTGAAAAGAGATGATTTTTAAAAGTACTGGCTAGCCTCCCCTTAGTAAAAGGAGAAAAAAAAAATCCATTTCTAGTGATCAGAAATCTTAGAATGATTACAGGTTGACAATGCTGTTGTTTTGTTTTTCATCTTGTTTTCAGTAGTCTGTCATGTTTTCTTTTGTGAAATTAAAGGAAAAACATCTCTGCAAGAAGATAGGATTTCTCTTTGCATACATGCTTATGGAAGTTTTGCTGGCTTCACCTTTCCTCTCCACCCTTCTCTAGGTAGTTGGTTAGTAACAGGCAATAGTTTAGGTAGGAAGATGAATTTATTTTTCATGTATTGAGAGCAGTCATTACATTAAATGAATTAAATGGCTATTATAGGCTGTTCCTGCTCTTGATTCTGTTTTGAGAAAATGCTTTGATTTCTGTCAGAAATCATATTTTCATCTTCTTCTTCCTGTTCCTATTCATTAACTCCAGTACATTTTGTGCATCCCTGCAGCCTATTTCCCAGTACTTTCAGCTGTCTTCCCCACAGTGTGGCAGAAAACAGTCCTCAGCCCCGTGCAATTCCAGTGGGATTTGTGCTGCCTTTCTGAAGAGAAGATCCTTTCCTTACAATACTGGTGAATTTATAGGAAGCAAATTCTCTGAGACCTTGATTTTAAATGTTCTTGGCAGGCTTTGTTGGATTAGGTGCTGTGCTCATGCTGTAAAATGTTTAAAAGCTGTCATATAACTGAAAACAGAGCAAATTTCTCCTCCCTTTTCTGATGGTTAAAGGGAGCACAAAGCTCCTTCACAAGGAGGAAGCTTCCTTCAGATGCTGAAGTACCTTGTCAGTGTTGATGCTCAATCAGTCCATTGGTACAGCAGACTAGCAGCTATTATTGTAGAGAAAAGAACTGGATACTCCTAAAATAGCTCATTTCTCCATGAGGAGCCCTGTGCAAATTGCTCTTGGTGCATTTGCAGCTCTGCTCTCGGGTATTAAGGTCCTGAAGCATGGGCAAAACAATATTAGAGAGTAGCACTGCTTCTCTAATGGGAATTGCCATCAGAGGCCATTCCCTGGAACAGTGCCAGATGCAGATGAGCCATCATTGTATCACTGCACTCATTGGTTTGTAAGCTCCCAAAATAACTTTTGTCACCTGATACAGAATACTTGCCTGGCTTCATTCATTTTTATTGACTTCGATTTTCATTTGTTGAATTGCTGAACCCTGGAGACTGAAGATCACCTCAGATGATTGCAGAGCAGAATATTTTTATCTCATAATGAAATATTTTTATTTCTCTGTGACATGCCCAGGGAAGAACATTTATTTTCCACATTGTTCTCCAGACATCCAGCATGTCTTCGCAGTCAGTAAAACAAACTTTTCTCTTTCTGTGCTTTTAATCCAAGGTTCTGGTGCCTTCTCTTTTTTTTTTTTTTTTTGTGAAAAAAGGTGGGATATATCCTAAAGGCTGAGAATGTTCTGTAGAAAGAAAAGCATCATTCCCTTAATCACCTTGACTTACGCAGCATCCCCGTTTGTTTCAACTTCTAGCTCCCAAACCTTCAAGACTTGAAAAAGGAAATTTGCTGACTGTAGTTCTGTTGCCAGTGGCTTGTGCTGTCCTTAGATCCTGTGCTAGGGAAAACTACCTAGAGAGATAGCAGTTTGCCCTTCAAATAACTGAATAGCTATAGCTAACTCTTCAGGTAATGCTTTAACTAATAGAGAAATTCAATAGCAAAATGCTGTTGTTAGAAATCTAGTTATAAAGAGGAGATGGCAACAAAAAGAAAGGAGGCAGAGAAGTTTATTATTTGTCAGACTTACCATTAGTTATTTCTGTGCATGTGTCTCCTTTCTGTTGTTAAAACAGAATACATTTGTATGCACTACAAAGCAGTCAAAGCTCTCGAAAAGTTTTGTGAAATCTCTAATTTCATCAGGTAGGCTCCCAGTGACGCAGGGGAATAGTCTCTGCCCTCTGGAAAACTTGGGAGTTGCCATCTGCTGGACACACTGTGGCTGAAATGAGCAGGTGGAGCTCTGCTTTCCACCTTCCTAGATGAAGAGGCAAGGCAAGGCACTTTGCTTTCTTTTGCCATTTGGTCCGTATTAAAATTTGCAGCAGATACAGCCCTGGAAATGCTTTATCTTGGCTTGTGAGACACAAAGTGAAAATCTGAAATGTATGGAAACACAGAGCCAAGGAAGTGGCGGGTAGCACTAGTGAATGCAGCAGGATCTGCGTGGGAAAAACCCCAAGAACCTGTTTAATCTGATTCTAGGGTCCAGCTCTGGCTCTCTTCCTCTTTGTTGCTGCCGATAGTTTGTGGACCACAGTTTGAGAAGCTCTGCAACAATGAGTACTCCTGGCCTGGTGCACTAGTGATACTGCCAACATTACTCACATTTAATTAGAAGGAGAGGAAGTAATGAAAATGAGAAGTCCCTCATTACTGGCATCATTTTACTTCCTTGCACTCCAGCAGCACAGGTTGTCTTGTAAGAACTATGCAAATGTTTATAATATGTGGAAGACTGACTGCGCAGGACAGCTGGAGAAGGTCACAGCTTGGTCTGAAAATGCACCATGGGGTACTGGATTGCGTTCAAGTGATCCTGGCCAAATTTGGCCAGAGGGTAAAGCTAGAGGGGTGTCTCTTCATTTCACTGTACCTTTTTGGGAAACCATCTGACATTATTAGCTTGAGAAGAGCTGTTGGCTGGAAGGTGGAGAATTTTATAAGAGAAGCAGCTGATTTCATTGAAGTGGATTCCTTTTCCTTCATCTGCATCCTCCATCAGTCAGCTGAATGAGATTGATGGTTAAAACAGCCAGAAGCTCTACAGATTGTTAGTGGCTGAGGACAGCAATCATTTTGTGGTTATACTTGGCTGCAGTCTTAAGTTAGTGGAAAAAGAATTACCAATAGAGAAGTAAGCCATTGTGAAAGCAGGTCCCCCATTTCATCATCGTTATGTGCAGATGTTCT